CCAGAACCTTGATATTCTATATTGCTTCGGGTCATTGTCATGTTGGAAAACCCAGCCTTGACCCATCTTCAATGCTCTAACTGAGGGAAGGAGGTTGTTCGCCAAAACCTCACAATACATGACAGTTTCAGACCCCTTTTTGATTTCTTGGTAGGCGACCTTACAAAATAGCAGGATGTTCAAATACTTACTTTCCTTTTTTTCAGAAGCCAACTAATTAGCATAAGTAGAGACCTTTTCAATTTAAACTACAACCCATGTGAAAATATTTGTTTTAAGCAGGTATATGAAGACAGATTTTTTTTTTTCTCAGAGATATCCAATATTTTTCATCTTTTATCCTCTGAGATAAAGTGATCACAACTGTCCAGGATAGTTGGCCATTCACAGATTACCAGTCTTGTTTAATCTAGTAAGTCCAGGATAAAAACTAGTAAGACCCTGCAGTAGACTTAATGTTAGTATGCGTAATGTTACAGGAGCATAACTCTTTACATAAAATCAAAACTATGATGCACATTTTTTAGTTCTAAGCATATTCAGTGTTAGAAGGGCCCAGTCAAACTTAATAGAAAATCTGTTTATATTATACAATCGGACACCTGCATACAGTCTTACTGGGGGGAAAAAGGGTCATATGTCCCTAAAGGGGGGATATTTTAACAAGGCGTTTCATAGAGCATTAGCTAGTTTTAGTAAAGAAACATTGTTTAAACTATAACTATAAGGAAATATAGTGTAAGCAGCTTTAGCTGATTGGACCTTTAGAACCAATCAAGAACCTCTAATTGTCATCATAAAACTGTAACAAAATTTTGCAGACTCTTTGCTTAAAATGCACATATTGCATGTGGACCAGGGGTCGGCAACCCACACTGCTCAAAGAGCCATATTGGACCCAAAAAAAAGAATAAGAATCTGTCTGGAGCCGCAAAAATGTAAAAGCCTTATATAAGCCTCATATAGCAACACGGGCTCTAAGTGTATTATCCCACTATAGAAAAGGACTATGTGGGCTTAAATATATAATAAGCATTCATGAATAAATGTTTATCCTGAAGCAAATGTCACATAGTAGCCTGAGGTGACGGAGGAACAGTGAACGCTCCCATCGCGCACCGCTTCACCGAGCGCCGCTTCACCACCTTCACTGCGCGGTTTAAGTTTTCTTGCAATGATGAAATTATAGAAACACAATAAAGAAATCTTTCTATGGTGGACGTGTTTCTGTTGGGAGGAGTTTATTGAGTCATGAGGAACCAAGCAGGAACTGACCTCAGAGACATCATCGTTCCTTGGTCTGATTAATATTTTTAGGTTTTGGGGAAAAAAATTGAAGAAAGTTCAGATACCTGCATCAAAGCGCTACCTGTTTGATCTGTGGATGGTTTTCCATCCTTGCAACAAAACTAGCAGCAGTAGTGGCTTTTGGAAATGCAATCCACTTCTTAAATCAATCTTTGCGCTCCTCTAATTTATCCTGCAATCGCACTTTTTCTCTCACTCCCAGCTTGGTGGTGGGCTGCTGATTTAGCCTTCCCTGGAAATACCTTTCCAAATTTTTATTTTTATTTTTTGACAAACTCTCATTACAAAACAAAAACGCAGGCAATCCTTCTGCATTGATAATGAAAGCAAATGATTCGGTCTATTTGAATCCTAATTTCTTATCAACTATTTTCCTTTTTTCCCTTTGAGATTCATATTCCGAGACACACCTGCAGCTTTGTTTGCCTGGCACCGCTCCACGGTGGTTCCAAGTTATGACCACTGATCTCTATGGCTATGACGCCAATTATTGTTTAAATTTATTTATAATACAAATGTTTACAGCATTGGAAAACATTAATCAATTTTTGTTTGACCTCCTGCACACCATATTAAAACAAAAACAAACAAAAAAATCGATTTTCATAAAATTTTTGAAAAAGCTCCAGGGAGCCACAAGGGGGAGGCTAAAGAGCCGCATGCGGCTCCAGAGCCGCAGGTTGCCGACCCCTGGTGTGGACAAAATGAAAAAAATACTTGTACAAAATAAACAGAAATATCCTATGCAGAAAAACTAGAATCACTTGAAGTTCTTAAACAAGACATATTTATTTAGACGTTATCTCAGTGTAAAAGACTCTCGCCAAATTAAACAAAATGCAAACTCTGCCTTATTTTTGCTTTTATCCACAGGGAAGTTTGACCCTAAAGCAATTAGCAACTTTTATGACAACATTCAACCCGGTCCGTTGGGGCCAATCAATCCTGGAAAGAAAGGTGAGGAAATTTTTGTAGGATTTGGGACTTAAATGTGTGAGCAATGGAGGAGTTATGTTAGGGTTTGAAAGTCAGCCATCCATCCATCTTCTCCCGGTTATTACGCCGGAGTAACGTTGAGGCCGATGCCTATCTCTGGTAGTCGATATGCGAGAGGCGGGATAGACCCTGGACAGGTCGCCAATCTGTCGTAGGGCAGAAAATACGTCTAATTATTTAAATAAAATGCAGTTAAGAGTTGAGATTGGCCAATCACAGTAACATATGAACTGGCATCAAATGCCATCGGAAACCATACCATAGTTTTATCCTTTTGCTGTTCCTCTTTCAAAGATGAAATTCTTAACAGACGTGATAGCAGCAGCGTTAGTGTGTCCTCTTGCACTGCCATGTTTATTTTAGATTGGCTGTGGGTTTAGCAGCTCTTGGTTTTGTCACAGCTGTGTGCTCTGCTTTAAACCACAATACTGCAACAAGAGTGGCATACCTGATTTGTGTCCGACTCGCAAAATACAGTATTTCCTTAGCCAGGAAGTTGAGGACAAGATGAGCCACAACAATATTGTGTATAGACTGGAGAAACAAAGCTGAACACTATCAGCTGAATACACCGAATAGATACTCAAAACAATAAAGAATTGAAACAATGCATGGAGACTTAAGTTTTAAAAACAGTTAAACTCTTCTGCTGCTAAAGTTTTTTCAATATCTTGTTTAAAGATAAGGGTTCAAACTTAAATGTGTCCTGGAGGTCATAATACTTGTAAATTTAAAAACCCTAATTCTATTCTAGGGTCTAGAAAAGTGTGAAATTTAACCAGTTAATATATATTCTGGATACATGATAAAGACAAAATATATTTTATTGAGACCTTTCATTTTTAGACTTTGTTTCCAGGCTGTTTATGTAAATCTTCTATATGTTGATCCAAAGCTTTGTTATTTTTTGCTTGATTTTTACATTTAAAGCTTTGGTCCCGCAGACCATTCACTGTCATGAATTAAATTTGAACGTTTGTGTCTATCCCAACTTCAATTCTTGGAATGAATATCCAAAGCTGCATCTAGACCTATCCTAAGATTTCTTTTTTACAAAATAAAAAATACATTCAGCCCCAATATTGGCCTTAGAGGAACACTTGTCTCCTTCTCTAAAGCTGCACACTTAAAGTATAGTAGTTATTTCCAACTACTAGTCTTCAGCTTTTTTTTTCTGAGATGCAAGCTAGACAAGAACCCCTCTGTGTATTGTGGAGTTAAACAGGATTTTCTTGAAAGCATCTTTCAATATTTTTTTTTTTTTTTTTAGTGCATGTCTTTAATACCATGGAATGGGTTTTTGTGCTTTGTGTTCAAACTTTGTTTTTCTGTTGTGTATTTTAGAAGGGGAGCCGGCCTCCAAGCCACCACCTCAAAGAGACGAGGATTTTGAAGGAGCTCACTGGAACTGTGACAGCTGCACCCTCCTCAACCATCCTGCACTCAACCGCTGTGAGGCATGTGAGATGCCACGCTACAGCTGAACTTAGCATGGCACTGCAGCGCCCATCCTTGGCCCAGTTTTTGCATAACTTTGGAAACCCCGAACCACGTCCCCCAGGAATCTATCTTAAGGCCTGCCCTTCTGTCAATCAATATACCCCCCCCCCCCCCTCCCTCCACCTGCTGAGGAAGAGCCACTACTTATCCCCATCCTCTGATTACTTCTCCTTTTTCCCTCCACTACTGTGCATTATGATCTTTTCTTTGGATGTTGTTTCCTGGCATATGTCAAAGAGGGGCTTGAAAAGGTGCAACTGCGGTGAAGTGGAACAAAATGGTTTATGGATGAAGAAGAGGCGGCAATGGTTTACCTAGCGAACATTCCAGGCAGAAGAGTGACTGCTCTGTTTACACTGTGCCGATTACTGAACACAGAAAGAAGGCACGTCTACTTTAATCCAAGACCTGTGTTTTCTTAATGACAGAAGAACAATGAACGAAGTGGTATGCAAGTTGTGACAAATGCGAATTGTAGATTGTACACTGTATCTGGCTCATTATGAGAGCTCATATCACTGAAAGAACACTAAAAGACACTTGCATAAAGTATACTCCTTGTACTTTTATGCATATTATGCCACCATGTATTATGTGTTCAAAGATGTTGATTTCCTGTGCAAATGCCTCAACTTGCTGTACTTAATAAAAGAGCTGATTCTATGTGACTTGACAACACATGACTGCAAAATTTCACCTGATTCTCTCAATCAAACTTTTATTTTTCTTTTAATACAGGTTTAATCAGACAAATTGTTGCAAACAGTAGTGGCATGCACATGCTTTCACTTTGTGAAGACCAAGCAGGAGAAGTTAAGCTCCACCGGGATTGAGATTTTGGCTATTATTAATCCCAGCTTTGATATCAAAACTATGCAACTTCAACCATTAAGGATTCGTTTTATTGTCTGTTGTTACATTTCTTCAGAGTGGGAAGATAAACAGGCATCACATGAGGAGTACTCTGAGCACATGCTGAGGAGCATGATCATCCATTACGGTGGTGTCCAAATGTTTTTCCCACGGTGGCAAAATTACACAAATAGAGCCTTGAATGCCCAAAAAGATGCATCTTTTTAAATTTGCAAATTCAATCATGTTGTGAATTTCTAACTATATTTATAAATCAATGCAGAATGAAAAATGCAAAGAATTGTCCCAAATTTTTGCCTCAGTAAAATAATCAATTCACCAAGTTTTTTTTTTTTTGGTCCAAAAATTCTGATAAATGTAAACCATTGGTGCAATATTAAATATTGCATACAAAACAATATTAAAGCAAAAAAACGAATTGGATATTAGAAGCTGAACCCTTTCTGTTGCACCAAACATATTTTATCTGCTATGCATCTCTTTCGAAAGAAACCATGTCAGAGAAAATATTAGCCTAAAGTTTATTACCAAGTGTACCATCTGTATTAACTACCTTAACTAGTAAGCTGGTCTCCTAAACTGCGATGAGAGTCTTAGCGTACTGAATAAAATCATTCTGACTGAAATAAATGGTCCCTGGACTGCAATTTTGGACACCCCTGATCCTAGTGTGTTCACTCAGCAGCCATGGTCATTTGCCATTTCTCTTCCCACTCTTCTTCTATTGGACTGCATACTGCTATATTATGCACACATAATTACATAAAGTACATCAGTTTTATTAAAAAACTTTGTGACTCAAACTGTGCTGTAAAATCGACACAAGCATGCTTGATAGATCTGGCTAATAATGAACCAGCAGATGTTTCTAACCTGTGTCATATTTAGAAGATGCTTGTGGAATGTTTTCCTTCAAAATTAGCCCTTAACTTCTCATGAATCATTTGTCAGAAATGTAATTAGGAATAGAGAATGAAATATTGCTCCATGATCATTTTTTCTTCTGTTGAAAAGGTTGAAAGGTTGGTTAACTTCCAGACGTGGTGCGTCTCTGGGGAGATGTAAAATGTTACTTGGTCTTCCTCGCTTTGTCATCACCAGGATATTACTGGAGCTGGACGTCTTCCTCTCTGCGCTTAAATCGCAGACTAACTCTGCTCTCAGTAGTTTATAATTGCAATGCTCCAGAATTTCTGGCCTAAATGAGCAGCACATAATTATCAGATTAGTAACAGTATGTCTCGAATGCTTTCTACTGACTCGGTTTGGCTTTTTGATAAGGAGTTGCAGTTTAGCCTGAGAAAAGAACTCATAGGAAGGAATGTCTTTCAGACAGTAAGCAAAAAAAAAAAAAAAAAAAACGATACAAACACTGTCACTGTTTTCCATTCTGTGATTGTGCAGTGAGGGACATACAGTTTATGAACCACACCCTGAAAACACTTGTTTCCTTATGCTTGTTTTTTGTTGTTTTGCTTTTTGTGTGTGTGTGACAATTTTCAATAATAATCTTCATAGTTCTTGGGGTTCAGACAGTAGAGAATGGCGGCACCAAAGGAGAAGATGGTGGATCCCCAGGCCAGCCCGTAGCCCCAGTTGAACTCATGGTACACCCTCAGGCTGACTGTTTCTATGAACTTGATTGGAAACAACACCAAGCTGCAGACCTGAAGGACCACTGCAAAATGAAAAGGAAATCCATAATGAACAAAAAAATGAACCAAAATAATAAAAATGCAACTGAGATAGTCACTAAATTCCCACAGAAATCTACAGACCTGCAGAGAACAGCATGATGGCCACAGGCTTGTAGTAGCGACCCCTTGAGCCGACGCACAGGGAGATCAGAGCCGTGAGGAGCGAGAGCAGGGTGAGGGCGGCTCCCCCGAGCAGTGTGGCCAGTGTGGCGATCTGCCAGTCTGAGAAAAACACAAGGTGCATGCAGGTAAGTGAAAAAAGGCCCTCAATAGCCATGTTTATATAAGGAGAAGACAGATAAATAGATGGAAAAAGCAAGTATAGAGCAGTGTGTCTCAAGAAAAAAACAATGTCACAGTTTGAGAAATTTGTCAGAAATTAAATGTAAGATGTAAAAATGTAAGATTCTAAACTTTAAACTCAAATGCTACAGGGTCTAAAATGAGATACAGGGTGCATATATGTAGAAGCACCTTCTGCTCACTGTTATGTAAAGTAGAGGATCTAGGATCCTGTGGGTCTGACGTTCCTCCAAAGGCCTTTATAACCTTGTTTGGGTTTCTGAGCCTTTAAAAACCTGAAGACTGAAATAGCCTACTTGTCTTGTCAAATTAACCATTAACCTACAAATGGGTAATTATTGGCTCTTCTAACAGGGTTATAATCCAAAAAACACATTAGTACACATTAGCCAAATTAGCACACAGAAATGTAATCTTCCTTATGACCAACTCAGACCTAAAACTTTCAGGAAACTTGATGGTAAAATGGAGGATTAAAAACAGAAGCACATTATCAACGTCAATCAATATCTTGAATCTTTTACACTTCTTTAGCCGGTGTGAAAACATTTCTTTTTCTGCATTTGTGACAGAAAATAAAATTATACTATGTAATTGAGCTGGTGGTGAATAACCACAGTATAAACACAAAGTATTTCTGGTTCAGAGACTGGTAGTGTTGTTAATGTCCAGGCATGTTTTTATCCAAAGCCTCTTGGGATCAATGACCGGGGGCAGATAAAGGAGGTGAACCACTTAGGAGACAAGACTCAGTCCCAACACAGCGCTCTCCAGTTTGACAAGAATGCTAAGCACAGATCTCAGCATTTTCAGTAATGACTCTCAGTGCAGAGGAAAGGTTAAAAAAAAAGGGATTCTGTGAGAGGTTAGCTCAGATAATGAGAATCTCTCCATGCTCCATAGTTAATGCCAGCATAGTTATGCCAGCAGCATGTTCTGCAAGTTGACTAAGATTCCTTCCTAATAACCCTGAACTGGAAATAACTGATGGCCCAGAGTTAAATGAAATGTAAAGGCCCTTGCAAAAGTAAAAAACAAAACAAGTACAAAAAACAAAACTTAGCTTTTTCCCATTTGCACCTTTTTTTCCACCAACACAAAACAAGGCATAGAATAGAATAGAATAGAATAGAATAGAATAGAATAGAGGAATACTCTATATGCTCCGACAGTGGGGATATTTATTATTTTTAAAACAAACAGGCAATATGCAAACACAAAGCAATATAAAATTAGGAAAAGAACAAAAATAAATAAAGGTTAGAAAAGGCTATATAGCTTCTTAAAAATGAATACTCAGAATAAATGAAATACTTTTAAGATAAACAACAACCTATTCACACACGTGACGATAAACACAAAATAAGATTAAAATATTTGCAAATAAAGGTAATGATTTACAAAAACACTCACAGGGCAGATGAATATTAGGAACTAACAGCATAGTTATAAACACTTATTGGGCCTGATGGAACGATGAAAACTGAAAAGTCTAATAGCTGGCAGCAGTAGTTTTTCATTGGGGATGGAGACATTGTGCCAGCTGCTACTGCGTGTTATTTTAGCATCCTGGGACAGAGCTGATCCATCAGCTTTCCCTCAGCTACAATAAGTGGAATTGTGAAGGGGAATAAATATTGCTGTATGGGTTTTCTTTTTCTTTTTTTTTCTTTTTTACACAGAATGAAGTGTGAAAAATGTGGCATACATTTGTATTCAGCTTCCCGTACTCTGATGACCATAAAACAAATGCAGTGTTAGCATTTTTTCCAATCAGACACAAAATTACTAAATGGATTCCACCTGTGTGTCATTCAATCTCAGCATAAGAAAACAGCAAAGCATTTTACAATCCATCATCTAGAAAAAAAAAAATATGTCACATCTGCAAACCTTTCTAGATGTGGCCATCCACCTACAGTAGCTGATAGGGTTGGACAATTAAATGCAATTAAATGGCAGGTTGCAGTAATATACCTAAAGTGAGTTTGCAACCACACTGTTGATAGAGAAAGATGCAGCTAGCTTGCAGATTCATGCCTGCAAATGGAAGTTAGCACTTTTACACACAAACGTTACAGTAAGGTCTTGCAAAAATTGACTCTGAAAAAACAAGCTCCCAAGGTCCTAAATCCTGTAGTAAAAATTGTATGATTGTGTTTAGTGCAAAAGAAAATCAAAATATAATCACTATCGCAATATTTTTATCAAAAAGGTTGAGCCCTAATAGCTGAAATGCTGGCGAGGCGAGCATTAATCAGAGAAATGAATAGGAGGATCATTTAGCTCTGGAGAAGCTGCAGAGAGTCCTTGCTGGGGATAACTGTTGAGCTTCAATGAAAGAAGTGGCAAGAAAGCCAGATAAAACCAGAATCAAAGCAAAGAAACTATGTGTGTCAGAAAACTAACAAAGAAAGTCTAATAATACCAATCTGTGAATGTTTAAAGCAAGAAGAGACAAAATCCAACTTCTGAGATGTTGGACATACATTTTCAGGTATTCTTTTCTTTTGATTTACTATTCATTTTCATTTGTTAGGAAAACAAATAAATGTCTATATTTTTTCAATGTAATAAAAGAGTATGAATAAGCAGCTACACTTTTCTCAAGCATTGAAAAGCAATACGTTTTTGGTCCGACCTCTTAAAACCAGGATTCTTAATGATATCACATCAGACTTTTAAACAGCCACGGGAGATGAGCTCCAGAGACAGTGTTATTGTTTAGAGATTAGAAATCTTTTTTATTTTTATTTTTTCAGGGAAACAGGAGGTTTATAGGTAAACATGAGGAGGATATTATGGCGAGGAATCTGATTACATAGGAGGAAATCATTTAAAGCATGCAGGGTGGAGTATAGCTTTCACATCAAAGCATAAAAGGAATCAAGTTCTCTACAGGCATGACTCAATATAATAGGTGTGAGCATTCAGAGACCGCATTTTGAAAGGATTTTATCTTTTGTATGCCTTTTAGAGAGGCCAGGGAATACAAAAAAAAAACCCATTGAGTATTGCCAAAAAGATTCCCTCTCTGTCGGGGCATAAAATCATCGAAACATGTAGGCAGAGATGTGGAGGGGCATAAGCTGCTTAAAGTTCCCACTTCTTTTGGAAGAGAACTTTCTTCGATGGGCCAAGGAGCTCAAATATAAACATAAATCAACTACTTCTGACCAAATATGGTGGAGGATTTGGGGCTTATATAATTGGCCGGGTCACCACAGGATGTTGGAAAGAGCTCACTTCATGTTACACAAGTTACACACCACGACCCCTCGCTGTTCATTGCCTCTCAGAGTGGGTTACAGTGACTTGACCTGCAGTTGTCGCAATGCTTTGTTGCTCTGATATCTTTCCTGGGTCGGCTCACTGCCTTCGGCCTCCGGTTGGTTTCAGTTGGCTGGGTTTTATCGGGGGTTTACGAAAAACAGCCGGATGCAGAAAGTCGTCTCATCTCAAATTTGGAGCAGAGCCTACTTGCTGCACAAGAAGCACAACCAGACATGGGAGTGCTTCAAGGCTCTGACAAATAGGAAGTGCCAAACTATTAATCTGTGCCCCCGTGTGATGACAGATGGAAAAGGAGATACAGTACAGGAAAAAATCTGATCTGAGATTTAATTAAGGTTCCCGCCTGTGCATTTGAAGTGTTAATGGAGATAAACCTTCCAGGTCTCATATCAGTTATTTTGTCTTGAGCAGATTTGTGTCACTGAATAGCCCCAAGTATCTTCTTTTCACTTTAAAAACCCGCTTTGCCTCAGATCAGTAGACAAACGGCGCTTGGATCAAAATGCTCTGTTCCAAGGCCTTTTGCAGCCACCTGGATGAGCAGTGACCATCCTCTGAGAAAAGATGAGCTCCCAGAAATGGGATCAATATTACATTATTAATGTGCTTTGCCTTCCCTGCCCCTCACTGAGCTGGACTGTCTCACATGCTGGCGCCACAGTGTTTGCCTCTTCTCACACCAGCCTGGAATCGACACATGCTGCTGTTACAGGACTGCCCCACATTCCAACTCTAATGTTGAGCCTAAACTTGTTTAAACTTCACCAACAACCCCCCCTCCAATCAATGTGTGTGTTAATGTGAAATAAATATACCGTGGGAGTTAAATATTTACATATAATGTATAAAAAGGCAACTTTTTTCTGTTTCAACCACTAAGAATTTGCTAAACACCTAAATGATGATTGAATGATGTTTTCTTTTTAAAGCCGAACATTTGAATACCTTCTTTATTATTTGATTGAAATGCTTTTTAGCTTATCTGTATAGCTTGGATGAGACATTTTTACCATCCTTCCCCCAGTTTTTCACAGCGGTTTCATTGGACTTTGAGTCATCTTAACAGAACCTGTGACTGATTTAATGATATCCTTGCTCACATGTCTTTTATAACTCTAATTTAGGGATGCAACTAAGGAATATTTTGCAAATCGATTAATCTGTCTGTTATTATTTCCATTAATCTATTAATAATTGGATAGCAAAATGTTCCGTAAAGCAGATTTTATCAGAATTTAAACCAGGTGAAACTAAAACTTTTTACAATTTTGATATAATTAATGCTCTAGGTACATTGCTCTGTCAAAATAAGGCATGTGCTAGAGTTGTTGATTTCAATTATTGATCATTAAAAATAAGATTAAAGGTTTCAGCCCTACTCTAATTACACATTTTCATCCCAGATTCACTATTGCAATGCCCTATAGTTCCCTCCAAACTTTTCCACAGACTACAAATCATTCCGAACTCTGCAACACAGATTATAACCTCTAGCAAATCACTGGGCCACATCAACCCCGTTCTTATCGAACTTGAATGGCTCCCCGTACAATACCATTGACTAAAAAAAACTTCTTACCTACAAAGCTCTCCATAATCAAGCCCCCACTTACCTCTGTGACCTCCTTCACACATCGTCTTCCTCCAATACCCTCCACCCAACCTCTTCTGGACTGTTAACCAACCCCATGTCACGCCTCAGTACCATGGGCACCCAAGCCTTCAGCTGCTCTGGATCTCCCTCCACCTCATACAAAAGACAGTCTGACACCATCACATCATTCAAGTCTGAACTTAAACCCCACCTTTTCAAGCTGGCTTACTCACTGTCACATCGGACACTAAGCACTTCACTTGTTTAAATGTTTTTTGATGTTTCCAGCTTTTGTTTCAAAGGTGACCTTGAATGACTTGAAATGTACCTCCAAATAAATAATATATATCATTATGTCAAACAAGGAATTAGGGTGTTTAAGGTGTAGACTTAAAATGCCCACACAAGTGTGCCTCCATCAAATCTAGCCAATCAATAGGTTACAAAGCCATTACATTGCTAAATTAATTTTTAACTTTTTAAAACGATAATTTGTGGATGTACACTATGGGCTCTATGCAAAACTTCACTACTCCCTGAATGTAAGGCAGCTCCTTTGTTTCCTGGCTGTGTCCCCAACCCCTATATCCCTCAATCACTATATTGAACGGGTATATAATAAAAATATATGATGGACTTTTTAATGAACTCAGTTAACTGACCGTTCAGACAGTTGATCACTACTTTTCCCTTGCTCATATAACTCCGCCTCCACTGCGCAATACCTGTGCCATCTTTGTTTTTAGTCGTAGGTGACAGCAGGCCACTGTGACAGCAAATCCCATAATGCATTGTGAGGAGAGCTCTACACACAAATCTTTCCGGGATATATCTTCTCGTCTAGCAACCATGGATGATCACTTCTTTTCAAGGTACATTGTGGGAAATTTTGAGTCCACTACTCTTTCATCCACTAGACCGTAGGTCTTCAACAGGGGGTCCGCGATCCCTAGGGGGTCCACGGAGGTACTGCATGGGGGTCTGCATGGTTAGTTGATATTTTTATATTCACCCCCTGCAAAATACTCATTAACGTGAATTCAGCACTCTGTAGTAAACAGATAAATGGAGGCAGAAGATGTCTTTCAGTCATCAATGCACACATTCAGCCACACACAGGAGCTCTTTCAAGCTGGGCACTGTTTCATTCACAACACCTGTCCATTCAACCAGGAATCAGAATCAGAAAAACGTTAATAATTTTAGGGAGAAATTAATTTCTTTACATTACTCCATCTGTAATAGAGGGACTATAGGACACAATTTCATACAATATATATAGTTAGGGGGTCCCCGCTCCATCTCGCCATCAGTTTGGGGGTCCTTGGTCTGGAAAACATTGAAGACCCCTGAACTAGACATTCAAACACTCATTTAAAATGGCGCAACCACTATATCAGGGGTGTTCAAGTTTTTCTCAAGAGCTACTATCCTGCAAATTTCTGATGCAACGAATATGTTGATTTTTCTGTACCATACCTCTGCTGAGCTGGTGACTGAAAATTTAGATTCAGGCAGTTTAGAGAAGAGATGCATCTAAAAGTTACAGGATGGTAGCTCTTGAGGACTGGACTTGAGCACCCCTGCACTATATAGTGCCCTATACAGTGATTAGGGTAGACATTCAGACACAGCCTTTCACTACTGGATGAAGTGATTCATCCAGGTGTGCCTGGCGTCAGTAAACATGACGAAAGTGGCCAAACATACCTGAATGAATCACTTCATCCAGTAGTGAAAGGCTGTGTCTGAATGTCTACCCTAATCACTGTATAGGGCACTATATAGTGCAGGGGTGCTCAAGTCCAGTCCTCAAGAGCTACCATCCTGTAACTTTCAGACACAGCCTTTCACTACTGGATGAAGTGATTCATCCAGGTGTGCCTGGCGTCAGTAAACATGACGAAAGTGGCCAAACATACCTGAATGAATCAGTTCATTTTTTTGTGCATATACCCATTGGCTTTAAAGAAAGAGATGAAAATACTTAAACCTATAATTTTTGTAATCTATTGGACCAAAAATATATAAATTTTGAAATAAAGTTACGGTATATTCTCTTCATAAGGTGTATTGTATATCTGGTCTTCTAATGTAGCTTTTTTTAACAGAAAAGCCCCTGCGTCCTGTTTTCTTTTTAAAAGTTCAAACATATCTAGGCAGCCAGCTGCTGTTTCAGACTAACAAGATTAGGTTTATGCCCTCAGCATGACACCAAGTGAAAACTTTAGCAGGGTTGTTATGGGGAGAAGGCTAGAGGAAGAGGGTAGAAACTGATTCCTGGACCTCAAATCAATAGTCTCGACCCAAGCAGAAGCTTGGAGAAATGGGAAGTTTGCTGCGTGCGTTCACTGTGGCACAATTCTGCTGCTGATAGCTGACATAGAGACTGCATGTCTTTATGTGGCTCCGAAGAGCACTTTGTCTGCGCTGACTGAGTAGGAATGGGGGCCAGTGTGACCCATCTCAGACAGAAAGAAAACATTTTGTCAAGCTAACAAAAACACAATTCACCACGCTGCACGCAGGAGGAGGCCAGAGGCAGAGAAGAAATTGAAATATTTATTGGGGAACAGGCTCAAAATGTTAAACACCCTCAGAGAAATGACAGAAGAACCAGTGCATGCTTTATCATTTACAATTAGATCTGATTTGTACAATGCTGAAAAAAACAGTTAGTGAGGGCTGCTTTACCCTGAAATATATCCCCGGATTAAATTTAGTCATCTTTTAGATTTACGTGGAAAAAGAAACAAAGAAGAGTGGTAACAAGAAAGCTATTGATCAATGAAATCAACAATAAGAAAGACGATTATGTTTTTGCTTGTATGTAGCCGACATTGAAAAAATAAAGCAACTATTTTTGACTTCAATAATTTTTTTTCATGTTAACATGGTAGGACATAAAACAATTGTGTTAAAGTAACTAAATATGATTAACTAGATACCAAAAATGATTGCATTATTTTTTCAGTGTGAAAAATGCCCTTAAACAGCACCCTGACGGGACATTGCTCATAGGAAAATATTGTAGTGGCTGTGTTATATTGATGCTCACTGAGGGTCCCCTATAAAGACACAATAAGGAGATTTGTTTTAACATAGAAGATATATTTTTGCCTTTGACCCTGCACTGATTACCATAGCCTCAGCTTTCAGAAATACTTTTACACTGCAGATCAGACACTGACTGTTCCTAACCTTCATAAATAAAAACAACTCTGAGCTATTACTTTAAGGAGTTCACTGTTAAGAGTTTAACACAGCTTCACATCCTCAAAAATATGTTATTTTTTATCTAAGAAGAACTAATTTGTAATAATAGCATCATCCAAGGTTATTAATCATCTGGGATTTTATTAAATAATGTTCACATAGATAAAATTTTAAATGATGACTCAACATATTATTTGATTAAAGATATGGGCTGTTGTAAACCATACAGCCTAGTAAGGGGACAACATGAGGAAGACCCCTATAAACGCTAAAACCAGCATTTCTCAAGTGTTTCAATTGTTTCCCTGGTAACTAATCTCCAGGCATCTGGATCTCTGGGGAGCTCTGTGTTCTGGGTTGCCCTTGCTCCTTGGCCGGTGGAGGAACCCACACAAAGGCTCATTTTTTGCGCAACAAAAGGGAAAATGAAACTCCATCTGGAGCGCTCCCGGTAGGATAGGATTCCCACATCATTCTGCGCAAAAAAAAAAATAAAAAAAATCCAGACAGAAAAATCTAACTGACCTCTCAGCATTTTCACTCAAGGGTAAACTTTGATTTATTTTGTCTACTGCCATAGAAAAGCGCAGCCCAAACGCCCCCTTAACTCGTGCGGTTTCAGTTAACTAGAGAATAATTGTAAATAAGGCCAGATAAACATTTTCTCTAGGTGATATTTTATCATTTTACCCAACTAAATCGGTTCTGCACTGATCTGCCTGCTAGGATCCTTTGTGGCCGCTGCGCACATTTGAATATGAATGTGGGTGTCTGTTGCACCCCCATTTGGATCAATTCACAGTGCAGACCCTATGAAACACCTAAAAAACTGGTGCATCCGAATTAAACTGTGGATAAGTCCCTCTAACATGCGCGTCTTTCTCACCAGTAGTCAGCGTCTTGCTGCAGGACCAGTCCACGGAGCTGACGGGTTTCCAACAGGACTCCCACAGGGACAGGTAGTACTGGTCGTTCGCTGTGACCCACGCCGGGCTCATGATGGCCCCGGCATCCAAACACAGCGCAAGGAAGACGCACACAAGTCCCACCAACTTCAGGGGCGTCAGCACCGACACCCGGATCTCCTCTGTGCCACTAACGGATGAAGCCATGTCCCCCAAAAAGTGTCTGGCTAATTCAAATGGAGAAGGGGAGAGGAGAAAAGGGGCAACATTGGAGGGTTTGTGTTGTTCCTATAGTCTATGAAGTGAGTTATATCCAGAGTGAGGATGAATCCCCCCTGTCAGTGCTTTAGGGTCCCGCTCATTAACTGCGCGTCTTGCTGCTGCGCGCAGTGCGCTCTGCTGACAGGACCCTGCAGCTGCACATTCCTAAAACACTGTGCTATACCTGCTGGGTCCTAGTGCCTTTCTGTAGGTACTCCTAGTTAACCAGTCTACATTTGCTCATTTTAATGCAAAAATAATCTGTAGGACCGTAGTACGGAAGAGGATTAGGGCCACTGGAGAAAAAAAAAAGTTAACTGATTTTTAGATTTTATTTCAGTTTAGTATGGGGAAAAAAGTCATAATTCGGACTTTTTCCCATACTAAACTGAAATAAAATGTAAAAATCAGTTAACTTTTTTTTTTCCCAGTGGCCCTAATCCTCTTCCATACCATAGGCAAGGCAAGGCAAGGCAAATTTATTTGTATAGCACAATTCAGTACAAAGACAATGCAAAGTGCTTTACATGATTAAAACATAGGAAAATAAAGCAGAATCAAAGCAAGTAGGAAAATAAATAAATAAATAAATAAAAAATGCAGAAATAAAAAAGAACATTAAAAACAGTTGGACTAAAGAAAAATAAAAAAGTGGAACTAATGATGTTTCAGTTGAAATGTTTAACTAGAACAGTCGAAGGCAATCTCGACAAATGTGTTTTTAGTTTTGATTTAAAGGAACTCAGGCTTTCGGCACTTTTACAGTTTTCTGGAAGTTTGTTCCAGATAAGTGGAGCATAGGAACTAAATGCTGCTTCTCCATGTTTAGGAAAATAATAAAATTTTAACCTTTATTTTAAAATAATGTTTAAAGAGGCAATTGGCTACATATTTTACAAAGTAAACCACTTTTATGCAGTCTTAATTCTTAACAAGAACAATTATTTATTTATTTTTTAAATTTTTTTGAGCAATGTTTAATTTATTACAAAATGTTCTTAAAACTGCATGATAAATTATGTATATAATAGTTCATTTTCATGCCCCCTTCTTGTCTATCCCTCTCCCTCGGATACAGAGAGAACGGCTTACATAGCTCATTTATTTTATAATGAAACTTTAATAATTCTCTTTCCTCAGGGAAAAACCTCAGAATTAATCCATATTGATGAACACAGACACAGGCACACACAGATAATAATGCTTCAAAAGGGAAAAAGCTCCAAAGTCATGCTGGAAAAAAAAGCTGTTTATTTTAATGGCAAAAAATATGTTGCAAACTGATTTTGTTTATCTGGTGTTGAGAGTCTATGGCTTCCATTCATCTCAATTAAACTTCTCATTCACGAGTTATGATAAACTCCATTTTTTACTAAGTGTTTGTATACATTAGGAAAGTAAAACATGGTTTGAAGAAAATGTTTTCTGTCTTTATTCTATACAGACATATTTATCTGTCCACTCAAGTCTACTTTATGCATTTTATACGGTGAAAAAAATCAAGATACAACAAAGTAGTTGCATATAGTTGCAGGTGGGGAATTGCCATTAGGCAATACTTGGCAGATTCCTAGGGCCATAAGTTCCTGGGGACCCCATAAAACTCTGTTTACATGTATGGTTAAAACAAGTATTCCTATTTAGTACCCCCCACCCCCCTTCAGTGTCCACCACTTTTTGGAAATGTCCAAACAGACAGCAGCAAACCATTTGAAAAAAAAAAAACTATGCCAAGTTTGTGCTTTTGCCGCTATATTTAGTGACTTTTAACACCCCTCTTGTGCTTTTATTTCAAAAAAGCACCTAGTGCCAAATCTAGGGACTTTTTCTGCTATTGGAGACTTTGCCGACAATATATAAAAGCACAGAACTCTGCTCTCTAGAGCAAGTGGATCGGTAACCCCGCCTACTGCTCTCCTCTATCTTGTCTGCTGTAATGATTAATGCAGCTAATATTTTATTCAAATGAAAAATGGACAAACAGATAAGCAGATCATGGCTTGTCTACAGTGAAAAGAAGGACTGTGTTTTTTTATTTAAGCGATCGCCTTTTTGGAAACACGGGATGGAGCCATCCGCTAAGTGAGCTTACTGCTTGGAAAAAATCTATCATTCCTTGTGAGACGGCATGAAAAATCAGCCGAGTACAAAACATAGAGGAAAACAACAAGAAAATTGACAAGAAAAGAGGGGCAAAACGTAGAACAAATGATGTATGTCTATTCTATTAAAATTTCCATATCTGTATAATGGGTCTGTTTTATGTGTTGTATTCTCAATTCAGAGGGCCCCCTGCCTGTCTTTGCCTAGGACCCCACATTTCCTAAATCCGCCCCTGTATAGTTGAAATTTATTTTTACAGATGTAATATGATATTCTGTTGGAATGGTGGTTCCTTTAGCTCCCCTGTAGAAACCCTGTGTATCTGTCATCTTGGTTTCACTGACTTTTGTTTTCAATTGCAAGGATCAACAAATGGGAATTTTCCGTATGGGATGACGATGGAATAGCTTACATAAGATTTGACTATATACACAACTGGACATGCAGATGATTTCACCTCTCTGAAACAGACGAACACCTTTCCATAAACACAGGATGTGTAGTTCATTATGTTTGTTCCAGAAATAAAAAGCTACTCATTTCACCAGTTGGGTTTAAATAACTTGTTGCTAGAAGAAACATAAGTGCACATCTAATTATCTAATCGGAGGCTTGTAACTATTTGCTTAGTTCATTCACGGTGGCCAGGCAGTGTATGATAAATTAGCATAATTTTATTGTCGTTTATCATTGTGACACTTAGGAACCAAGAGTATTTAAGGAAGTTTATTTATTAATTTATATATATAAAAGCGCATTTATATATATATATATATATATATATATATATATATATATATATATATATATATATATATATATATATATATATATATATATATATATATATATATATATATATATATATATATAAAAACAGCTGTACACGGCAGTGATCACTATGAATGAAAGGGTTAAAGGATTGGTTCACCCAATTAAAGATAAAAAATAAAAATGTATGTCCCATTTACTTAGGTGGAGTTGCAAAACGCACATTTTGGTTATTAATTCAAGAGCTTATACTAAAATAAAATAAAAATGCTTCTGCCAAAAAGTTATTTAAGAGATATAAAAACACACTGAGTGAATAGTTATTCTGCCATTATGCAGGAGCTGAGATGATCTAAGCAAAAACAAGCTGAATCTGAGAAATGTCAGTGGAACACTTCATGTAGTTTCTTAAATCCTGAATGTGAGAGTCAGTGTTTGTGTTTATATTTTTGCTTTCCTCCAAGTTATATAGATGAAATTAGAATTGTGCTGGTTTGACATTGAGTTTTACAGCAAATTTAAAAAACAAAACAAAACAAGAAAAACTGCAAAAACATACAGTTCAAAGTCCAGATTAGTTTTGGGTGTGTGGTCCTGTATTAAATAAACAAATTAACAGGCTAATTTAACAGGTAGCTGACTAATTGTTCTCTTGTGTTACCTAAAAGAGCTTGGTTTAAATAAATACATGAATAAATAGAAGAGGCCTGCAATGTTGTAAATGTTGTCATGCTTTCCTTTGCGATCTCTTGGATGGGTTGTTATGCACACTTGGAGTGATTTAGATAGGCGGAAGGTTTACCACTGTTTTCTCCATTTGAAGATAAAAATCTCTCACTCACCTGGTTTTATATTCTTATTGTCAAGAACTGTCTTCCTCATCTGTTGTTGCATTTTATTAGATTGGTGCATATGTTACATTCTGAGGACTTTCAGCAACATGTAAGGCTAGCGGAAGTTACTAAACATGCAACAAACTGTGGTTTATAACAGTAGTTTAGATAGATAGATAGATAGATAGATAGATAGATAGATAGATAGATAGATAGATAGATAGATAGATAGATAGATAGATAGATAGATAGATAGATAGATAGATAGATAGATAGATAGATAGATAGATAGATAGATAGATAGATAGATAGATAGATAGATAGATAGATAGATAGATAGATAGATAGATAGATAGATAGATAGATAGATAGATGATAGAGCTGTGTTTTTGGTGGCTGTGTCTTTAATCAAGTGGGAGGAGGAGGGGGCTGTTCAGGGGCAGCGGTCGCAAACAGACCTTCGCGCATGCGCACTGGGCGCATAGCAACTGGTTAACGGAGGATCGAGAACATCGCTTATGCACAATTTGGTATCAAAAATAGGTAAGCTAGAAGATCGGGTTTCATACCTGCTGCTTCTGTCTGTTAGCCGGTGGAGGTCTGCTGATTTGCCTCGCTAGGAGGACCCCGGCCTCCTGAATCAAGCGTCCCTCCTCATTAAATCCCATCCTCTGCTGGACGGGATCAGATCACCGACACTAACCTAAAGCTGTCAATCGGTGAGCAATCTGGGCTAGGTAGTTGTACCGGGGTGGCGCCGCTTTCTTTGTTTGGAGGAATTTATTAAATTTTTTAGCGGCTTGTCTAATTTTAGGCTGAAGTAGGAATTCTAGGATCTCGTTCATTAGCCAGCTTCCAGTTTGAACGTTTCAGTCGCTATAGTCGAATCATGGCTTTCTTTAGACGGAGCGAAACCGCCCTTTAACTCCTCGTTGTTTGTAAATATTGTCAGAACACCGAGTTTGTTAATTAAAGCTTTAGGAGTTAAGCTGCGGTTTGGAAGAAATAGTAGAGAGGTGAGAAGGTTGGATTACTATGCTGGATGCAGGTCATTAAGTGCAATAACATTTGGTTATTAGTCTGTGGTTGAAAAAGAAATCAGTTAGTAAAAAACAAAGAGGTTTTTAAGTTTGGCTTTTCTTTCTTTATAATCCTTTTAATGTGTTTGTAACCTCTTCCACAGATAAATCAGCCCAAACACTCTGGCAGGAATCATGGGGAGTGGTAAGCTGATTCACTGTTTATTTACAATACACTTTCATCTCTACACAAGCAGGGTAGAAGCCTGGATTAGCCCAATCTAATAGGGCCCCACCCATCAACAACCAAGGGGCCACTTTTATTCTCTCCATACTACATTTATTTATAGATTACATTTATTGGTCACAATCAAACAAACTGAGTCTCCAAGCGGCTGAATAGAGGAATCCTTGTTGACACGCTCGCTTTTCAAAAGTTCAGTCCAAGATGCAGTTCAGATCCTTTTGTTTTATTGATCTTCAAAACATTCAATGCAGCATACAAAAAAAAGAAAAACGAATCCACAGGTTCGAGTTGTGATCAAGGGCAAAGGAGACCAAAAAAAACGCTTAAAGGTCAACAAAAAGTAGACATCACCCACCCACTGTAACTCACCAGGTGAGAAAAAAAGGTGATCTTACAATACTGCTGACACCATGTGATCAAAGCTACGCCTGTCCGCCACAACATTTATTATATGCTTATTGCAGGGCAACAGTCATTTATTTCATTCTAGATAGGTGTGATAACCCTTGTAGTTATTAACCTTTCTTTTTGCATTTTCCTGAGCAAGGCTTGGACATGTATAACATCAACATTAACTGTTTCCATAATGGGAAGCTTAATGTGCAGCAAGTTCAGTTTGACTAAAAGGAAAACAAACATTTTGGAAGCGCGCCAGTCTGAAGGTAGCAAAAGATAAGGGTGATGGTGAGGAAGCCTGGGGCTTTCTTGCTGCAAGGCTGCTGCCTTGCAGCAAGAAGGTACTGGGTTTGATTCCTTTTGATGGAGAGTGTGTTGCCCTGCGATAGACTGGCCACCTGTCCAGGGTGTACCCCGCCACAACCCCAGCAGAGGATTAGTGTGTCAGAAAATGTATGAGGAAGAGACTTGGAGGTTATCACTAGACATGGGATTTGGTCAGCAATTATTAGGGTTTGGTTTATTTCCATTAAGGGATTTTCCATGAACTGTTTAGAGGAAGGATCATTATTTTATAATATTAGGTGCAAATGAAAGTTTGCTGGAACATTATTATTTTCTTAATAGTATTTGTTTTAGAGTGTTTTAGTGATATCAGTGTAAAGTTCCCATGGATCTAATAAGTCGGATTTTGGAAATTTAACCTATTGTGGCCATGTTGGACTTTGAGGTTTTTGTGGAAGATATTTCTCCTAATTTCCTTCTTCTAGACAGTTTTTAATGACATTTTTTAAAGTTCTTGTGTAAATGAAGTACTTGAGTCTTCTTCAAAGCCCTGGTGGATGATATTTTCTAATCATAACATCACAAACAATTATCTTCAAGTCTTGTGGAAATACTGTTTTAAAACATTTAGCCAAGATTGTTTTTGTTTTAGTGAAAATCTGTATTACCAGAGGGACATTCGTTAGAAAGGAATCTCGGCCATTTTTGAAAAACTATTCTGAGTAGACACTGGAATGTGGTGCTAGAGGAAATCTGGGAAACAATCCCCTTTTTTTGTTTTCATCTGAGATTTCCTGTTTTCCGACTTCAGTATTGTCTCTCCCCTTTTTTTCTTTTCTTTTTTTTTTTTTACATCTTTCCTCATCTTGTTGATCCAACTCCTTTAATGTTATGAGTCAAACAAAGGCTTCTACCCAGTGATATCAGTATCAGTCTGTGCTGTGACACCTTGTAGAGCTGTGTTCCTGCTCTGAATGTCATAAGGAGACAGATGCCCTGTCTCTTTAAGCCTCTTTAGCCAGAGTTTCATGAAAAGATTGCCAAATTAATCCAGCTTTTGTTTTTATGCAGAAATGTGGGCAACAAGCATGTCTTTCCTCCACTCTGCTTCTTTTGTTTTGGCCTCCACTTCTTTTGCTCTCCCAATTTTCAAGGTTCTTGTCTTTTTTCCCCCCTGAATGTTGTACCCTCTTCCCTCCCACTTGCTGTTCCATTCATTAACTTTCTCTTTACTCGTCACTTTTGTCTTTCTGACTTTTGTTTCGGAATCATTGATTTGGCTTTGACATTGTCTCTTCCGTTCTCCTTCCTTGTGTCTCCCTCCTGAACTCCTCTCCTGTTACTGTCTTCTTTACAGTGTTCCTGCCAGCAAATTCAGCCCACTCTGTGCTGAGGAGGCTGCGGAGGGCAAACTCCCTCTTGGAGGAGATAAAGCTGGGGAACATTCAGAGGGAATGTCGCGAGGAGGTCTGCACCTATGAGGAGGCCCGTGAAGCTTTTGAGAATGATGAGAAGACGGTAAAGCATCCGAACGACATCACAATAGATTATTTTTAGAATGAAGCATTCCTCTTATGATGTCATAAGGGGAAATACCTGTCCAGAGCAGACTGTAGCAGACCATCAGTCAGGCTACGGCCTTCAGCTGCTGAATTATTCCATGCACCTAGCCACCTTTTTGACAAATTCTGACTGGTTGTCATGGTTACGGTTGTGGGTTTGTGGCCTTGAGGAGGACGTGGGTGTGGAAAGCCAAAACAGCTTATTCAGAACAGGGCTGAATGAGGAGGTTTTTGGTAAAGGTTATCTGCCTAATCTGAGAGGAATTTTCCTGTAAAAATGGCAAAAATATGGAGCCCTGTAGTGTGTATTTTTTATTTTCAAAGGCAGCAGAATATTGAACCTTTAAAAGAAAAAGTAAAATCTTGAAAATATCATTATTTCTCTACCTCCATGACTTTTCTTTAACATTTCAGCTCCCAGGACAGAAACATATCTTTTGATCATTATCCAGCTGATGCCCTATAATCACTTTTCTAGCGAAGTTTACTGGATTTGTATAATAAATGTCCCGGTTTTTCAAAGTGTTCATGATGCAAGTGCTTTATCAGTTAACTCAGAAATGATTTTGTGTTAACAGTAGGAAATGCAATGTAAAAATATTAAATATATATTGGCCTTGCAATTTGCATGTGTGCCCAGAAGTAACTGCTCTGCTGCAACCAGTAAAGGAATTAGGTCCTTAAAATATCTATCAACCATAATTCTGTTTTCTAATTTTCCTGTTTAAAAAAAAAGAAAAAGTCAGCAATTGCAATTCCGGCTAATTGTGCTGCCCTGTGGGGATACCAGTTGAAAAATGAGGACAGTGACATATTGCAACATGCTATCTTGCAGCATGGAGATTGTTGGTTTGATCCCAGCTTCAAGCTTTATATTAAAAGTCCTTCAGTTATAGTGTTGAGCAGACTCTACCTAATCAATCGGGATTTTTTTTATAGCCAATAAAATTTTAACAAATTTATTCAACCAAACTAAATGCAAATTGTTACATTTGCTTTTTTGGGGTAAATTGTATAGGTTGTTTTTTACAGTGTAAGATCAGGTGGACATTTGGAAAAGAAACATCATCACAGATACTTGGCATACCCACCGACAGTGGTTCATGCTAAAATGGTTAAGCTTAATGTCACCAACCAAAGCATTTGGATCTAGTATAATTCTAGTACAGTAAAATTCATAAACATCACACTTACGTTTGTGATAGTTGAACAGAAAGAGTTTTCTTCTGATATTTTTTCATAAGCAGCTGTGTTGATGGCTTGCTGTGGTTGTCATGGAGACTTGGAGACTTCAATTCCTAGGTCTTTGACTAGGTTTCAAGCATCTCTAAACATCCTTGCTGTGCTTGGTGGAATGTTTTTGGTCCCATCCTGTGTTTTTAAAGCACGTCTTCATCTGTCTCTAGACATCACCCTTTTTATTTATTTATTAGCTTTTTCTACCTCTTTAAGCCATTATAAATATTTACAAATTGTATATTCTCTTATTTTACCCATTTAGAAAGCTGGGAATTGGTTTAATTTCATGATTTTAACCCTAACAAAGGGAGTCATCGATCAAACGACTGACCAAAAAAAAAAATACATAGAAGGCTCAAATCTGTTTTGTTTCAGTTGCCTTAATTCACAGCAGCAGTAACGAATGTAATCTGGCTCATGCTGTATAGGCAACCCCCAGGATTAGCTTTAGTTATGTTGTAGACCGGAGCTGCTTTGGTTAGTGGCTAACGGCCAAGAACTGATGCATTGTTGCAAATCACAGGATTTCAGTTACCTGCTGCACATTTTTTTTGTTTTCTCAAAACAAATATTACTACTTATGGCTCTAACAGTCTGAGATACCTGCCTAAATAGTGGGAGAGTAACATTTTACTTCTATATTTGTACATTTTAAACATATTTTCTGGTGGGAAAGAAATACTTAGGAAACTCATAGGAGTCTTTTAAAGTAGAGTTCATATTTAGAGTTACAATCTAAAAAACAGACTTTTCATGTTTTTTGCTTTTTATTTGAGATGATTTTGTGTCCAGTAGTGTAGTCCTGAAATCAAACGGCCTGCTTTTGTGGAAGTGGGTGTTTTTTTGTGTGTGTGTGGAGGAAGCGATCTTTATCGGCAGGAAAGCCGCACTAGAGACGGAGGCAGAAATGAAAAGCCATTGTCAGAGAGAACTCACGCAGATGGGCGTTCAGTTTGTTTAGTTTTTGCTAAGGTTTTGTCCTCATTGGTAAACAACCAAAAGTATTCACAGGAAATTGTTTGCTGTGTTTTCTGCTTTCTTTAGTCAGACTCTGTTGGGATCTTGCAGCTCTTGATGGTTTTGACTCTAGCTTTCTGTCTTCCTTTAAACACAGAAACGATTCTGGGAGGAATACGTACGGGAAAGCAACCCACCCAGCGGGTTTGATTCTATGGTCGGCGGAGTCCAGTCTCTCTACCTGATTGTGCCGCTGCTGCTGGTTGGGCTTGTCGTTATCGCCGTCGCCATCACTGCGTGGCGCTGCCACTCCCGGAAGCGCTCTCAGCGCAGCCCAGGCCTGGGGCACTCGCATCACAACCATGTCCTGTCTGTGGTCTCCATGGACCAATGGGGGAGGGAATATCATCACGGTGACCAATCAGAACTCAGCATCCACAGCAGCCCGGCCTATCCAGGTTCTGAGATCACGTCGGCGAGAGGAAGTGCGGGTGATCCACCGCCATCTTATGAAGATGCTGTGGGCCACACAGATGTCCATATAGAGACAGAGCCGCCCCCCCAGTATGATGACATAGTGAACACCAGCTCTGGAAGAATCAGCAGTGGACAAAGGAAGTGAAAACATTTCAAACTAAAACCCTAACCTACATGTTTAGCAGTGCTTCTACTGTGAGATCACCAGGCATCAACATTCACGTCCAGCAGTGGACTCATGCAAACGTAGCCGGTGCCAGTTCTGCTGACATTTGCACTAATCTTTTTATCGTTTAGGTGAAGTGAAAAATAAGGGATGAAATTATACAGTAATACCAAAACCAAACAACACCTCATGTGAAGGCAGAAATGACTGCTATAATTAAGACCAGTGGATTAGAGGGTCTGAGTGATACTTCCAAGAAGATCAGTGCCAAACTACGGAGATTGTTTAGGTTAAATGACATAATCTGAACTTTCTTACCAACATCTATTAATGCTGTTTTTGTCAAAAATACCTACAAGGCCAGATCTTGGATTTGAGACCAGCTTTAAATTGGGTAAATTGGTCTTTAATAGAATATTACACCCTAGTAAAGATGTGTAACATGCCGTAAATAATAATATATTCCATAATCTAGGAGTTCCATTATCTCACATAAAATTTAAGAAAAGGGAAACCTTTAACTTGACTAGATTTATTTAGTGGAGGGAAAAAATGGAAAAAGAAAATAAAAAGCGACCAATAGCGTTGTCAATAGTACATTAGTACCAAATCAGATGGATTTGTTGAATCACAAACAAGACAAACACATGTAGAAAACACAGGGAAATAACATAAATGCAAGTTCGAACAGAAGTTTTGAAGTGTTTTTGAAATAGTTAACAGAGCTCAAATATTGGCTGAAGGATAGAGTGGGTGTGTCAAAGGGGCAATGGTGGCAAAAGCTTTGTCTAATCCTTAGCAGGTTTGCTGAGACCATAAACGCAGCACCGTAAGGACGACGCGGGATGTTTAAATCACGGTGATTGTTTATGTAATGCTCCTGAAGGAGAATTGGAAATTGATGGAGAGCCAGTGGCAGCTGAAGAAAGAAAAAATAGAAATGAATAGGGTAGAAGTCGAAGGTTGTAGCTTATTGTTGGAAGGATCTTTGAAAGAAGGGCTGTTAACATCCTTCACTGTTAACAGCTGGCCTGATGTGCATTCGTTCTTTACTTTATGCGAAACACCTTGAAGAAACCCAATCTCATTCGCTTCCTCATCTAAGCCTACAGCTCCTATTAAAGTCTCTGCAGCAAGGCGCTGCCATTTCTATTTGTAATAGTAGGGCAGGAAAGTCTATGTGCTTGTTCTCCTGTTTGTTGAAGAGTAGTTATCAAGTTGCCTTTAACTTGATCTTTTAGGATTTAAGGATCCGTAGTGATGCCTAAAAAAAATCCTTTCCTGTTGTGACCGGTGTAGTTGCTGATGGTTTGTAATATTTGTTGTGGGGAACTGATGGCCTTGAGTTCTTTAACAGTATACTTTCAAGGAGCGATAAATACGGGTCTCCATCAAGCTGTGCTGCAGGTTGTACAAGAAAACAAGCCTCTTGTGTAAAATCCTGTTTATACCACATGGAAATAGTCATTGAGTTGTTATTTAGAAACGGATACTTCACTTGCATTTGTGTTATGGGAATAAATCTGAAAATTCTTCTTAAAATTCAAAATCATTCTACTTTTCAAATAAATGTACTCAAGACATTCGTTAGGAAATGCAATTATAATGTTTCTGAGATAAAAAAACAAAAAAAAAACAGTTATCTGACGGTGCTTTACACAGCTTTGCCAGGGTGCCAACAAATTTAGTTTTAAGGCTTTTTTTCCTCTTTTGTTCAGTTTTCAGACTCTCTGAACTGCAAAAGCTATTGTGTAAAAACTGGAATATGATCTATTAACTCGTGTGAATTTTTTTGGTGTTGCTTCTTTTGTGTGTGCTGACTGTGAGGGAAGCAGCCAGTCACATTTTTTATAACCAATAATTATAAATCTCTAAAGCTGCGTTAATCCTAAAGATAAAATCCCCCACCTCTCCACAAAACTAACAAAAGCACTCCACTTTATTGTTGTCTTAATCCCAGTTTATGTAGTGTCTTTTCCCAGGAAATACTTTAATCTTTCCCGTTTAATACAAAAAAAAGAGAAAAAAAGGGAAGGTGGGAATTACCTAACTTAACCTGGTAATGCATGAACTTGGTCTTTTAAGGTCATACCCGTTTCTGCACTGTTTGTTGACAGCTGTGGCTCATTACCTTTATTAACCTGTGGGTTTCTGCTTTGAGGTCAGAATATGGATTAAAAAAAGGATATCCTGGAGCTGAAGGGAAATTAAAGAAATTATTTTGTGTCAAAAGTCACAATACTCCAACTCCATATTTTGCATGTGAAAAACACTTTTACATACTGTATATGTGAATAGAATGTGTTGAAAGTTAACTAACATTGATTTTTTTTAATGCATAGGAATGTTGTTAATGTGTTCATACTAATGTGATTGACTTGCAGTAGGCTGTGAGGAAAACAAGAACCTGTAGGAGGAGTCCGGTTGAAGTTCTCACGATTCACTTCCAGCATCCGATAAGTCGGCTTAATTCTTGGTGCTTCTGATATATATGCAACTTTTCCTGAGTGCACCGCACTTAACACTCGATGTACCCGTTAAACACTCCTTAGCAAAGATAAACCTTGCTGATCTTTTCACAGGGCACAAACCTTTATTTAGCATTGAATGTTGTCATACTTGTATATTAACTGACCTGTAAACTACGGCATTTACTCTGAGACTGGACCGTGCCGGTAGTCACCTTGGTTACTTTAACCAGTACTTCCACAGAGCCTTGTTTTATTGTTTTTTTTTTTTTTTTATAATGCCTTATTAAACAAAATGTTATATATAATTAAACACAATGAAAAAAACGGTATAAGATCTTGTATAATGAAGAGTGCTATTAATTTTTAATAAAAAAAGACACAAAAATATCATTTGTCACTGATCTTTACCAGATTTACAAAAGGTGGAAAAGTTCAAATCCCAGCATTTCTCTGTTTTAAAATGTGGAAACTAGAAAGTATGATTCTTTTTTTAATACCAGAAAAGGTACAGGAATAGCTCTTTGATTAGCTCTAACATAAGTACACCTCTCATTGTACAGAAACCCAAGTTGGATCCAACTTTCTTTCATCTTTGGGTAGATGTGTCACATTGACTATACTGACATATACTGGCTGGGCAATAAAAAGGGGTCACACACTACTTTCATTGGACTGCCTTTAGCTTTGATTGCGGCACACATTTCTTTGTTGCATTGTTTCCGTTAGCTTCTGCAATATCACATTTATTTCTACCCACTGTTGCATTAATTTTTCAACATGACAATATTGTGACCGCTGAGCAACGTCTTCTCCAGCACATCCCACAGGTTCTTAGTGGGTTTAATGTCTGGACTCTGTGGTGGCCGACCCATGTGTGAAAATGGTGTCTCCTGCTCCCTGAACACTCCTTCAAAATTTTAAGAACATGCCTGTGTCATCAGGAAAGAAAAAAAAATCAATTTATGTAATAACCTGGTCACTCAGTACATTCAGGTAGTGATATTCAGCTGACCTAATTCTTTGAGCTCATACTGTTACCGATCTGCTGTTTTTCTTTGATTTGATTTCACAAAATTTTAAAGTGATCACTTGTCGATATTTTCTCTATTCTATCTGGACTATCCTTCTAGTTTTTAATAAATTGGACAGTTTTTTAATTAAATTGCGGTCCTTTTTACCATGTCCTTAGACGTTTCCTATGCTTAATGCATGCAGATGATTTCACCTCTCTGAAACAGACGAACACTTTTTCCATAAACACAGGATGTGTCGTTCATTATGTTTGTTCCAGAAATAAAAAGCTACTCATTGCACCAGTTGGGTTTAAATAACTTGTTGCTAGATGAAACATAAGTGCACATGTAATTATCCAAAGGGAGGCTTGTAACTATTTGCTTAGTTCATTCAAGGTGGCAGGAAGTGTATGATAAATTAGCATAATTTTGTTCTTGGTTATCATTGTGACACTTAGGAACCAAGAGTATTTAAGGAAGTTTTATTTATATATATATATATATATATATATATATATATATATATATAAATGCTTAACCCTTTAACCCTGGACCATGAAATGATGGATTGAAAGTTCTGACAAATGAAAGGAAACAAAAACATCCATTTTGTATAACCAAAATTGGATAATTTATTTGCATCAATTTTGATACATTAGGCATTTCTGTGTAATCTTTTATAAATTTTCTGTTCACAACATGTGTCTGATTGTGTAACTCCGGGTTTTCAAGAGCAAAACTATCACACTGATAAAGCAGAAGTCTCAAAAACTCGTGTACCGAATATGATACACTTGGCATTAAAGGGTTAAAACTTCCCCTATAATCTACCATAAATGGACAAATCCAGAAACTACGAATCTATATGAGCGGAATATGAAGGGGCTCTTTAAAGTACTTGCTTCCCTACCAAACTCCTTTCATAAGTGGCAATTTATTCCCTTATGAGTCCAAACACCTACAACCGATAATGTTCAATTTTGACACTTGGTTTTTTTTTTTAACCATTTTGGATTTTGAAAAGAATGGAGAGAAAAAGAAAACACATTTTCATGGGTATAGCATCATGGTTTCACAACGCGTTCATTTCCCTACAGCATTGTCTTACTATTCCAGGTTCAGAGCATGCATAATCTATTTTTCCCAACATTCAACAGATTTCTCTTGTTCCATCTCAAGATATAAATCAGTCTCTCCATATTATAGATGTCTTTCCCCCTCCATTGGTGTAATCTTGGAGGGTCAGTTTGTAGCCATCTCCAGGTGATAGCCTTTTTACCACAAACCAGAAGGATCTCTAGCAGATATCAGTGTAATATATATAAAAGAATGGTCCATTTTCACTCCCATCATCTTACATATTTCATTGTTTACTTCCCCCCATTATGACTTTATTTTTGGAGAATCCCAAAAGACATGAAAATGATTGGCCATTTCTGTACCACATTGCCTCCAGCATCTGACATTTAATTCTAAATCCCACTTCTTTTTATTACCTGTATTGTGAACGTTTTTCTGCAAAGCACACACATATATGTACAGCTCAAAAAATAAAGGGAACATATAAACAACACAATATAACTTCAATCAAATCAAACGGTCGATTTAGGAAGCAAAACTGATTGACAATAAATTTTGCATGCAGTTATGCAAATAGAATAGACAACAGGTGGAAATTATTAAGACATTCAATAAAGGAGTAAATAAAAAAAAAAAACATTACCTGGGGTAAAAAGTAGATTTATTGTTACTGGGACATCAGTGGTTTAACATACAATCAGTTTGTCCTCGTCCATTTTAGTGCTTCATTAAATAACAAGAGGAATTTACATTATTTGCAAATTTATTCTTTGAAATTAAGAAAAATGCTTGCTATGATGACTAATCAATAAGTTTGAGTTGATCTAAAGAAAGTAATGTGGTCCTGATTCTACCAGAGACAAATGGCACAAAGTTCCGTTATTAAAACAGTGTTATTATTTTTAAAGCTTTCAACAAGGCTGATTTGGAAAAACAAAAAATTAACAGTGCAATTTAAAGACTCCACACACAACTGATGAAACCTGATATTTCCTTACAAAAGCATATCTTGTAAAACAGGTCACAGCTTTACAAAAATATCACAAAGTTGATTCTTGGTGTTGCCTCATGGCTGCAGAGTTTACACCCACTCCTTTGGGTTTCGGAGCACTTCCAGCATCTCAGCCTCCCGGGAGCCTTTAACAGGCTTGTGCATGTACTCCCACCTGCAGATGAAGGAGGAGTCTGTTACTGCGCAACAAAGAGGGCCTATTACCATCAGATAGAGAGCAGGAGATTTATTGTTTTACCTGGCAGTGAGGGGGAGGGACATTAGGATGCTCTCAATTCTGGAGCCAGGCGTGGCAAGGCCGAACTTCACTCCTCTATCATACACAAGGTTGAACTCCACATATCTACAACAGAAAGAAAACCCCAACCTTAAAACAGATTAAAATAATTATCTTTCCAGATTCAGCTTTCCCAGTGATATTAAACTTTAAATGAAAATTCCTCCGAGAACTCTGGATTTCTACAGCAGACAGAGTTGAACAGAATAAAAAAAAAGGATGAATGGTGGGAAAGACAAAGAGGACACAATGAAGGAAAGGAAACAAGTAGGGATGAAAGAGACAAAAGGGAAAGAAAATTGAGATATAAAGATGAAGTTAAAAAAGAAGGACAAAATTAAGGAAAAATTGGCTGTATTGGGAATAATGGAGACATTACAACAAAAATAAAGTAATGAGATTGGAAGAAGGTCTAGCAGGGGAAGAAAATAGATACACAAAAGGAAAGAAGGAAAAACAGGAAATGAAAAGATAGGAATACACTAGTAAGGGAGGACGCTATTTAGAATCGACAAAATAAAGCAAAAAAACTAATGCAAGCAATGAAGAACAAAGATGGACAGACGTTGGAAAAAGGAATGAAGGGTGAATAGAACGATATATAGAAGATACAAAGAGGGAAAAATGTTTCTGTCAGGACATACAAAGCAATAAACTGCAGTACAAATATACCACAAAGTGTTTTTGTATGTCAAAGTTCAACGACTATGTTATAAAATATTATATTCAGCGATTTATTGTTTAGTTTTTTATACCCATTTTAAGTTGAATAATTCTACACATTTAACATCTTTTAATTTCTATTTATTTGTATTATTGAAGATATAATAGCCAACAAAATATGCCTTTTAATTTTACAACTATTTTGCATTTACTTTTAAAGACTGATATGAAAAACACTGATATAACAAAGGTAAACAGTAGGATTGTATCTTAAAGATCACTCTGAGAAGTTTAAAGCTACAGTGTGTAACTTTTAGGGACATCTAGCGGTCAGACTGCAGACTGCAGCAACATGAACCACTCCCCCCCTTGAAAAAACTTCCTGGATTTGAAGCAAAATGTCTTCAAACCTGGAAACAAAGTCCACTGGATAGTTTTTTTTTTTTTTTTTTTTTTTGGAGCACTCCCCCCACGCTCCTCCCCCTCCAACAATACGGAGGCCATCAGGGTACAAAACGGTGCAAAGATGTCTCCCTCCATAAATGCGAGACTGCCTCCTATGTAATTATAAATAGCAATTTCTAAGGCAAGGAAAACATAAATTTGAGACTTTCAGCTCAAAGACGAAAATAAATAACATACTTGTGTATAATATATTATTTTGTCAGTAAATCTCAGCACTGACAGAACACTCTGTAGCTTTAAGGAGTCTAGTTGAGATTAAGAGCAGATTGTCCTCCAAAACCCTGACCACCCAGGGTGCAGACCAGGAAGCAGAGTTGTAGTTTAACACACATCTCTGCAGCTTCTCTACTGTTACCCACTCTTTACTCCATTCAGACAGTGTCTTGCCCACGACCAAAATCTAATAAATTAGCAAAGATTCCCAAAGGAGTAAATCATGATAATCTAATTAAAATCAAAATAACTCCAATTGGGGAAAAAGTTAAAACAATTAAATGCGGTCTGTTTAACATAAGATCGCTTTCCTCTAAAAGTCTACTAGTTAATGACTTGATTTGTGATAATCACATTGACTTGTTTTGCCTTACAGAAACCTGGCTGCAGCAAGAGGATTATGTGAGCATAAATGAGGCAACTCCTTCAAGCTATTTAAATTTTCACATCCCCAGAAGTTCTGGGCGAGGAGGAGGAGTAGCAACAATCTTCCAGTCTGACTTACTGATTACTCCCAAAACAATTAATACCTACAACTCTTTTGAACATTTAACCCTTAATTTCCCTGATCCAAATTTCAAGGCAAGAAAACCTCTTCTTTTTGTAACTTTGTATCGTCCACCAGGTCCTTACTCTGAATTTTTAGATGAGTTTTCAGAGTTCCTTTCTGATTTGGTATTAAATACTGACAGGGTCATCATAGTGGGAGATTTTAACATCCATGCTGACATTGAAGGCGATAGCTTAAGAGCAGCCTTTAATGCTATCTTAGACACTATTGGCTTTGTTCAAAATGTGAATAGTCCCACGCATTCTCATCTTCATACTTTGGATCTTGTGCTGACATACGGCATAGAATGTGAAGAAATAACAGTATTTCCTCACAACCCTGTCCTCTCTGACCACTTTCCAATAACCTTCAGGATTACTTTAACAGAGTTCTCCTCCCCCAAAAGAAGGTTCAATTTTAGTAGATCTTTATCAGATAGTGCAGTTATAAATTTTAAAGAATCTGCTTCACTTTCTCTCTCATCTGTGTCACTGAGCAGTGTTGCAGAGTGCAAAAGCTTAGCTTATTCCCCTTCACAGGTTGATGATTTTGTTGATGGGGTTGCTAGTTCTCTGCGTATTGCCTTAGACAACGCAGCTCCTTTGAAAATGAAAACCGTTAAAAATAGAAAGCTTGCTCCTTGGTTTAATGCAGAGCTGCGTACTTTGAAGCAAAATGCTAGGAAACTGGAGAGAAAATATCGCTCCACAGGCCTGCGAGAGTCCTTCCTAGTCTGGAAAAATGGTTTACTGCTGTATAAGAGGACTCTTTGTAAAGCAAGAGCAGCATACTTCTCCTCATTAATAGAGGAGAATAAGAATAATCCCAGATTTCTTTTTAATACAGTTGCCAAACTCACCCAGAGCCATAGCTCTGTTGAACCGTCCATTCCACCTGCTCTTAGCAGCAATGATTTTATGGGATTCTTTATAAATAAGATTGATCTTATTAAAAATAAGATCATAAGCACTCCTCTATCCGCGATTGTACCTGAGGTAGTCATGGAATCTGAACCGGGTTTAGACTGCTTTGATCCAGTTGAACTCTCTGAATTAGCAAAATTATTGTCTTCATCTAAGCCTTCAACTTGTATGTTAGATCCAGTTCCAACCAGGTTATTTAAGGAGGTATTCCCTTTGATCTCCTCCTCCATTTTAGATGTGATTAATCTATCTCTGTTACAGGGATATGTACCTAAAGCTTTTAAGGTTGCTGTAATTAAACCTCTGCTTAAGAAACCGTCTCTTGACCCAGATGACTTGGTCAATTATAGACCTATATCCAATCTTCCTTTCTTATCCAAAATTCTTGAGAAAGTAGTTGCCAAACAAGTTTGCGATCACTTCCACCATAATGAACTTTTTGAAGAGTTTCAGTCTGGCTTTAGAGCTCATCATAGCACTGAAACAGCTCTGGTGAAAGTCACTAATGATATTCTCATGGCCTCAGATAATGGACTTGTATCTGTGCTCGTCCTGTTGGATCTTAGTGCTGCATTTGATACAGTTGACCATAATATTCTTTTAGAAAGACTTGAATATTTTGTTGGAATTAAAGGAACAGCACTAGACTGGTTTAAATCTTATCTATCTGATCGAATTCAGTTTGTTCATGTTAATGATAGATCTTCAACACGCTCAAAGGTTACCTGTGGAGTACCACAGGGATCAGTGCTAGGACCAATTCTCTTTACTTTATACATGCTCCCAATTGGTAGAGTTATTAGACAGCATGGGATTAATTTCCACTGTTACGCTGATGATACCCAGCTATATCTGTCTATAAATCCAGATGAAGCTAACCCATTACATAGATTACAGGCATGTCTTGAAGACATAAAAACCTGGATGACTCTTAACTTTCTGCTCCTGAATGCAGACAAAACAGAAGTTATAGTCTTTGGACCAGAGTCTCTGAAAAAGAAACTGATTAGCCAGTCACTTCATTTGGATGGGATTAAACTGATTTCAGATAATAAAGTAAAAAATCTTGGTGTTATTTTTGATCAGGACCTGTCATTTAAATCCCACATCAAAGAGGTTTCTAGAATTTCCTTCTTTCATCTGAGGAACATTACAAAAATTAGAAATATCCTGTCCAGGGGTGATGCTGAGAAACTAGTCCATGCATTTGTTACTTCAAGGCTGGACTATTGTAATTCTTTACTATCAGGAAGTCCACAAACTGTAGTTAAAAGCCTTCAGCTGATCCAAAATGCTGCAGCCAGAGTTCTAATGAAAATTAAAAAGAGAGATCATATCTCGCCTATCCTGGCTTCTCTTCATTGGCTTCCTGTTAAATCAAGAATAGAATTTAAAATCCTCCTTCTCACATATAAAGCCTTAAATGGCCAAGCTCCATCTTATATCAGAGATCTGATTGTTCCTTATGTTCCTAACAGAGCACTTCGCTCTCAATCTGCAGGTTTACTAGTGGTTCCTAGAATTTCTAAAAGTAGAATGGGAGGCAGATCTTTTAGTTATCAGGCTCCTCTCCTGTGGAACCAACTACCAGTTTTAGTCCGTGAGGCAGACACCCTGTCTACTTTTAAGGCTAGGCTTAAAACTTTCCTTTTTGATAAAGCTTATAGTTAGGGTGGCTCAGGTTATCCTGAGCTATCTCTATAGTTATGCTGCTATAGGCTTAGACTTTTGGAGGACATAGGGACCCCCATTTCATCATTCTGCTTCATTCTCTCTCTGTTCTCCTATTCTGCAGAATCTGTTAGTTCAATCTCTAACCTTCTGCTCTCTCTGCTTTTCCTCAGAGTAGCTTTGCCTCGTCTGTTCCTGTTTGGCTGTGACGTCATCCTGGAAAGAAACATCAGCTGTGCTGCTTCCATCAACACCCTTGTTTATAGATGTTGGAGATCGGCCGGTTTTCCAGTGTGGTCCTGTTTCTCTGACCGTGACTGAGTGGATGTGCTCTCTTCGTCCTCTGGCATGGGAGCTGCCTTGGAGCTCGTCTGCCTGGCTGTGTGTTTCCTGGACGGGGCCGCCTTTTACAGCTGCTTCTTGTATCTCTGCTTCTGTCTCCTTGAACCCCAGTCGGCCTCGGCAGATGGCCGCTCACACTGAGCCTGGTTCTGCTGGAGGTTTCTTCCTGTTAAAAGGGAGTTTTTCCTCTCCACTGTCGCTACAAGCATGCTTAGTGTGGGGGATTGTATTTGAGTCAATGAGTCAATGCAATCAACTAGTTTTCCTTAGATAGAAAACTTTGTATCAATTTGACTGTATGATCTGGTTGAACTGTAAAGTGCCTTGAGATGACATGTGTTGTGAATTTGGCGCTATATAAATAAACTGAATTGAATTGAATTGTTTAATTCTAACACATTCAGTTTAACGCCTCCTTTTACAGATTATCATCAAAAGGAACGTTTCCAGCTCACTGTGGCACCTCTTATCATCCTTAAAACCAGCTTTTTGGCTATCTTCCCAGCATTCTGGAGAGAGTGGAAAGGATTTAATCTTTCTTTCATCCTCTTACAACCAAGCTAAGCAAGTTCGGTGGTAGAGCTGACCTCTTTTAAAGGTTAAGGTTATGTTAAATGGGGCTAAGGTAAAATCCAGGCTTCCCCCACCGGTTCTTTTTTCAAACAGGTAAATGGGTAACTAAATCCAATCAATAATGATCAATAGACTGATAAGTAATGCTTATATGGTTATACATTTTCAGCCATATCACACAGCTCTGCTAGAGATCTGCATCACAACTGCTAACATTCAAGCAGTTGTGAAGTTTAAGTCAACAAACCATAAAAAAAAAAAAGATCCAAATACATATGTGCAACTACAAAAGTAAGAGTAAAAGAGATCATTTCTGACGGAAACCAGTAAACAATAAAGCCGACAAGTAATAAGAACATTTCAATAAAAGGCCCTAAAACCTTGACCTAACAACAAAGTTACCCATCAGGTACAGCTTAGGTCAGAGGTGTACAGCCAGTAATCTGTAGTGGAAATGACTTGTATTTCATGTCTAAACACTAGTGGTAGATGTGGCATTGCTAATGTTAATGAAATTGATCTAGGTCATGTTACTTTTCAACATTTTTTAGAGTATAAAAATTATTAGATTTAATACGACTTGATAGTTGAGTGAATTTAAAATGGTATATTTGATAAGTCTAGTTTAAATGCACAGTGACGCCACTTCTAATTCCTTAAACCTCAAAACCCAGTTGACTCAAATGGACTTGATACTGTGCCAAGTAGGAACAATTGAGGGTGAAAATGATCTTTTAGAACAGGCATCCCCAAAGTCGGTCCTCGAGGGCCGCTGTCCTGCAGGTTTTAGAGGTTTCCCTGCTGGAGCAAGGAAACCTCTAAAACCTGCAGGACAGCGGCCCTCGAGGACCGACTTTGGGGATGCCTGTTTTAGAACAAGTCCTCCAGCATGCGAAAATGCTAAGTATATTTCACAGCATGTTAATATAAGCTAGTGAGCTAATATTTTGTAGATTCTCTGTGTGCCACGTCAGATTAGTAGTACTTATGAAGACATCAGTCAAGGAACCCTCCTGTCCCTCTTGTTTATGAACAAGCCGGTATAACAATTATCATTAATCTGGGTCTTGAAACCATCAAACTAATCTAATATTATCTTTTCTTTTGGGCAGCAGACTAATTTACAACATGTGCCTTTCCTGATTTTCCAACATAGGAGTTACCTGCACAATCTAAGTTGATCGTTAGCTAGCAATGCGTATTGCCGCACATTGTACGCCCTTTACCAATTGTACGCCCTGTTTGCTTTAGAAACTTTGCTTAAATCTTCAAAATTTCACAAGCAGCAGATGCAGGAGTTGGTACAACTGAATATTGTACCTAAAAATGGTCTCACGTCTTCCTAATGAAATTTCAATATCTAGTCGAGCAAAAGTAGTGGTAGTAGGACAAAAAAAAAAAAAAGTTAGCTGCATTCCAGCTCAAAATGCAGGAAATAGCATTTCAAAATGTAAAGTACAAAATTTTCTAGGGGAGGATACCCCCAGACCCCCCTATGACCCCCCTACAAAGCCTAAAGAGACGATACACCAAGGTGTTCACCCTATGAAATACTCCTAGCTAAAAGCCTTACTAGTCCAAAAAAGGTCAAAGTTACATCAGCTTGAAAACAAATCCACTTTCACCAAAATCTAACTTTTAGGTGAAACGGAGAAACTAAAGAACAACCCCAATACCACCAAAATACAAAGCTAACATGAGCTGGACCCCACTAAAACACCAGCATCACGGTTCACAGAGATGTCACGTTTTCCTCCAGCTTTCAGGAAATATGTCCAGAGCTGAAAAAGTCTGAACTGTTTGATCATGAAGAATCCAAATTACCTGCAAGAATTTTGATCCAGTTTTGTTTTTTGTTTTTTCTTCTAATTTTGTATATCCTTCCACCTGATATACACTTAGATGTATATCTGAACATTAATAGGGTATCACTTAGTTATTGGAACCTGTTTTCAGAATATATTTCTGTTGCAATCATGGTCTTCATTTAAAAGTAGACGGACAGAAGAGAGGCAGAGGACCTGTAGCAGACTTCTAGGTTGAAATTCAAAGCTGTACATTGATCCTATTGCTGAAAAACTTAAACTTTCACTGAGGTAATGTATTACAGTACATCTATAAAACTTTAATTAAAATACCCAAACCGATATCCTATTGCCATGCCGTCTTAACAAAAAGGGCTGAAGATGACACCGGGATATTTCTTGACAAGTATTTTTCAAAAACAACATTCTTCTATAAAGCCATTCGAAGTAAAGTGATGCGTTTTCCGCTCACCTTCCTCGCCGCACCTGCTGCCAGTCCTTCTCATCTTGAGTGAAGGAGTCATTAAGATGTTTTTTCACGATGGGAAGATAACAGGGCACCACGGTTCGAGCGCAGCTCTTCACAAAGTTAAACGCCTCCTCCTGATTTGGGGAGTCCAGATCATCAAAGAAGATCCCTCCTATCCCCCGAGTCTCTCCTCTGTGACGGACGTAGAAGTACTTGTCACACCTAAAAGTCAGTAACATTTCCAAATTGAAGCTAAAGATTTCTCTGTTAAAAACAGAAAGATTGGTGTAATAATTTTATCTCATTAAAACCAACAAAGCTTCAAAGCCAAATCAGATAAACCACACCCATTCACTCCACAGCCTCACGACCCTTAACAGCATTCAACGTTTTTTTTTTCTCTAACTGCAGATTGTAGGGACTGCCTCTTATCACTGACACACAGTGAGTATACACCCATTGTAATTCACCCGCACAAATTCACAGGAATCCATGTTAAAAAAATAAAATGTGTACGTGGTGATGTGCACAGACACGTCAGAGTGACAGATGTTGAGTCACTGCTGGAGAGTTACCATTTTTTAAACTCTGGGTAGTACTTCGGGTGGTGTTTGTCGCAGGCTTTCTTCAGTGTGTTGTGGAAATGAAAAGCATCTTCTTTATCAATATAAACGGGGGTTAGATCTGTCCCTCCGCCGAACCACCACTGCTTGGAGCCTGAAAGCACACACACACATAACAGGAAGTAGGAAAAAAGGCTCAGCATTAATCTGCAACAGGCCCCAAAATGCAGCTGATGTTGTAAAGGGCCGTCACTCACCGTCCTCTTCCTCTATTTCAAAGTATCTGTAGTTGAAGTGCACTGTGGGTATGTGGGGGTTCCTGGGGTGGATGACGGAGCTCACACCCATTGCACAAAACGGCAATTTACCTAAAACAAAAAAACAAAACAAAAAAAACGCTTAATAGATAAACAGGGCCAAATCATATTCTAGATACGTTAGATGAGGGGTCAGTTTAGTTACTAATTATGATCACATGGAAGAAGATAGAACTCACCATCCTTTCCTTTGAGGACTTTCCCTCTGCTCCTCATTTGTTTTGCAGCCTCCTCGGTCAGATACCCGAAAACCACAGACACATTCACCCCTGCTTTCTCAAACACCTTTCCATCCTGCATCACACAGCTGATCCCTCCTCCACCTATGAACAAAGATGATTACAGAATAAACAGATGTTTGAAGCACTTATTTACCATCAAAAAAGATGTAGAACCCAGTATTATTAGAGTATTTAAGAAATATATATACGCAAAAAGCTTAAATAGTTGGGATTTAAATATAATGTCTAAATTGCTAATAAACTGAACTTTCAAAGGATGATCTCAGTAATAATAAAAAAAAAAAAATCAACTAACAGATCATAGATGTGAAAGCAGTTTGACATCTGCATAGAAAGAAGAGTCGTGTCATGTGTATTTATGTTTCCTTATTGAGAAAGTTTTAGTTTTTCAAACCAATAGTTAAGAGTTATTGCTTAGAGACATGGTTTGATAAGGTAAAATGCCTCCATACAGACATGATTGGACAAATTAATTTATTTTGGAAAGTCATCCAGAGTAATTTGGCGTTTTTTTTGTTTAGAGCTTAACTAAAGGTAATGATCACTCTTAATACCTGCACAAACTAAAAGATGTGTTAATATTTGCTTAATGAAAGAGTACAGCTGGATATTCTTTACATTAATGGCAGATAAGTTGGTGAATATTTTTACAAGGTGAGCATGAGCACCACAATCCAAATTGTTCCTAAAACAGAACAATAAAGAGATAATAAACACTGAAATGATCCAAGATTCTTACAGAGGATGGATTTTATATTCTTAGAACAGTGTTTGGCTTTCTAGACACTGTTGGAGAGGTAAAATGTAACCCAGTGAAAGGAAACCAGGGATGCCTCTTATTACCTTCCTTCCTTTGCCATTTGTCCACTTTGAATGTCCCACCGTCCACTTCCTCCAGGGCTTTACAGAACTCAGCCTGGGTCTCCATGATCATCATCTCCATCCTGGTGCTCATCTCATTCTTCCTTTCCTCCAGCACACTGATGTCGGTCACCGGAGCAGACATGAAGCCCTTGCATCTTTCTGCGATGTCCCCCTCCTCCTTGGACTTTAGGGGGATCTTGGTGGCCATCTCTGCTCGCTGGAAGTGGTTAGCGTTGGCCAAGAAGCCCACAACGGCTGCTGTAACGGCCGCGGCACCACCGAGCGCCAAGGCTCCCGTTCTGGTTGATCCGGCTGCAGACCGACCTGCAGTCCCATGGGACATGAACCGTAAACCCAAACCCCTGGAGAGACTTTCATTTCCCGATAGCAAAAACACGGACGGGGCATTCCCACCTGCGAGATCCTTAAAATGTGAACCCAGACACCGTTTTACTTTAGTCTGAGCCGTTTGCTTTACTGTCAAGAGAACAATGGACGCCATAGCAGCTTCTTCTAATGTCTGTGAAATGACAGTAATAACTAAACAACTCTATACATGCTCAGAACTTGTATGCCTACGTGCTGTAAGTCGTGTTTTAAAAGTGGTCCAGTAACGAGACGGGTGGTTTCTGGGTAATGATAATGGCTACATGGGAAATGAAGTTTTAAAGTACCGATAGACCAATAAACATGTATTGTAGAACGTTAGATGATAACTACATTATCCAGCATGCAATTCGGCTAGACACGGACGTAACCATTCGTAGGCTTTGGTCATTTGCTCGCCGTTCTTTAGTGATTAAGTCAAGCGCTTCCGTTTTTTCCAGTTATTTAAAATATAATGTTATATAATTCCTCTCATATTCTACTTGGGTTTTTTTCGTAATCGATAAAATACTAAAGTGATATTTTCATATAAAATAAGTAGTTTATTTTTAAATAAGTTAGTGAAGCACCGATAAACAAGAAAAACATGACTTATTAACAAATTATTCATTTTCATACGATGATTAATTGTTGCTGACATGTTCATTATTAAATCAAATTACTTGTTATCCTAAAGAATAGAAATACCATTTTATAAATGTAATTTGAGTGGTAAAACAACCAGACAGGAGACTCTTACAGGTAGGCCTAAAACATTAACCAAATGTGAAAATATTAGATTTTAAAAATCATAAAAGTTTAAATGTACAGTAGGAGATAAATGCAGATATCATAAAAAAAAACGTGTTGGTCTATTAATAAGAATATGGCATATAATGTTAAAATCAAGAAATGTTCAAGCTAAAAAGAAAAAGAAAAAAACAGGAAAAAGGCGACGGTTTACAGCATGGGCAATTGAAGACAGGGCCCTGTAATAAAGACGTAATATTAAAATACATTTATGATAAATTAATAGTGATATATGCGGGAACAGAAAATGAAAATAGTAGATCAATTTGATCTGTTTTATTTCTTACAGTTTTATTTGAAAGATAATGGGAAAATTAAGTATGCCATAAAATATCTCACTATGAGATATGATCATGGTTTCTTCTGATATGAGGTTTCCAGAGCTGCAAATGTTTTTTGTTTTTTAATATTTACTTTATTTAATAATGATGAACCATTGCTCAGTTGTTTGATTCGCTCTAAACATTGGCCCCACCCTGGCCTCCCTGGTAAATTTGGTTACCTGACAGAAACATTACATTTTTGATTTCAGGATTTTTCATTCGTTGTATTGACCTTTAGCACTTTTATCAACTTTGTGTTGTTATCAATATAAGCACTGACATTATAAATGTCTGTCGGTAACTACAAATTTAATTCTTAACAGTATTGACCAGTAAAAGTCAGTTAAAAAAATAACATAATTATGCTAATTGTAAAAATAATTGCTTGAAAACAACAGTCTGTCAATATAAAGCAGACCCAAAGCTGTGTTCGTGTCTGCGCGCATGCGCATGCAGTAAAGCGTGTTGTTGGTTACCATGACGACGGCACTATTAAAGCTTTTAAGTCCGAGTCTCGGCTAAGATTAAGAGCGCAGGTGCTGCTGCACAGACAGGACTCTATGGGACAGCAAAATAATCAATAAAAATGGTAAGTTACGTAACAAACTTTAATTTGAACGTTTTATCATCACTGGATGTGTAGCATTAATTAGGAAATGATGAATGTTGATTAATACTCTTGACGCTTTCCGCTTGTCCGGTTGTATTTATCTCTACCTGAGCGGGGGAAAAAATTGGATTACACTTGGGGATGTTTTTCTCTAATGTATAAACATTAACGAGCAGATACACATTCTGTTTTAAAATAAACACCACATAAACAACAACGGGCTGTAGTTATTTTATTATTATTATTATTTTTTTTTTTTACCTATTTAAGTAAACTCTGGCTTTAGTCTCGCGATGCCCTATTAACATCAATTTGTCAAGGACAATGAATCTTTAATGGCGCTTTCACTCTGAACGCCGTCAGTAGGCTACTTCTTATTCACTGGCCTATAATGTTGTAGAGTATACAGTAGACAAAAAGCATCCATTAGGATCTTATTTATCAGATATTTTTTAAAATGATGGTGACAAAAAATAAAATTAATAATAATAATTGAACTGTTTGGATCTCACACTGGAGAAATGTACCTCTGCATTTAAGCCAGTGGGCTGCCATTGTGCGGCTCCCAGAGAGCAATGTGGGGTTAAGGGTCTTGCTCAGGGACCCAGAGTGTAGGCTGTGAGGATTGAACCTGGTACTTGCAACCAAGGGCGTAGGTTTGATTTCAGCTTTGGTAGGGATACTATTGGTCTGATGTCATTGGTCCTATATGCATGCTTGCATTTTTTTCATGCTTGATGTGAAAATCAGGGTGTATTACTTTTAAAGAGAAAATCAGCATTTCTTGCGACATTTATATAAATTTCATAAGTACTACACGCACTAGATGCTGTTTATCAATGATTGAAGCTTAACTGGCTCTGATGAATGAGGAATTAGGACTTTTTTTTCATTTTGAAAAGGTTTGCACACCTCAAATAAAGAAAATCAACAACCAGTAAATAGGGCTGGGCGATATGGAAAAAAAACTATATCACGATATGGATTATTTTATATCACGATAACGATATATATCACGATATGCCACAACTGATGTTGCATTTTATGTTTTCATAGTCCGTCAGATGGACAGGGTTGAAAAAAATCTTTCATTGCCTATTTTTTACCCATCATCTTGTTTCCTAATATGAGAATCCCAACCTCAAACCAAGAACACCAGTTATGCAATTTGCGGCCATGACAGTGAACAGTATAGAATCTTGGCTAAAAAAAGTTAAGATAAAATAAAAAAGTTTATCACGATAGAAAAAATAGAGGAGAAAGGTCACGATAGACATGTTTCTCTCGTCCTCACGATATATATCGCCATATCGCCCAGCTCTACCAGTAAAGGTCCGGAGACATTTTTAATTACAATCCATTACTTTAAACAGCATTTAACAGTGAAATAAGATGAGGTGTTTATGCATCCTTGTTATATGTTGACTTTTTAACCCTTTAAAGTCAATTGTATCAAATTTGATACATGGGTTTTTGAGACCTCTACATCATCAGTGTTATATTTTTATTCTTGAAAACCCTGACTTACACAATAAGTCGCATGTTGGGAACAGAAAACGTTTAAAACATTATAGAGAAATGCCTTATGTATCAAATTGGATGCAAATAAATCATCGCATTTCACTTTTTTGATGTCATTTGTCAGAAAATTCAATGACAACTCTAATAAAGTGTCAATTATTTTATGGTCCCGGCTTTAAAGAATTAAATAAAAAAATTGAAAAAAAAAGAAAATGTTTCCATTTAAAAAAAAGTGTTTTTTTTTTTTTTTTACTAGAGAACAACAATTGTTCAGTTTGGTATAGCAACAATTTTCTGATTCACATATTTCATAAAGCACCTGAACTGACCTTTCTTTTTTATGGCTTAATGAGGGCAATGGGATTTACCCTGCCCTGCAAGGCCTTTAAACCTGGGTTTGAATGGCAACAAGGCAATCCCCAACACATATCATGGTGCTCATTCGTGAGCCTGGATTGATATTTATTTTTGATTATGTTCATGGTGGGGACATCCTGCTTCACAAGTTTGAGCCAAACATACTCAAAATGTGCAGGGTCATCTTTGAGCACACCATTTCACCTTTTTTTTTAACCAGTTCACTGAGGTTCTTCCAGCAGTCCACTCTTTCTCTGCTCTTTTTCTCTTCGTCTTCTCCTTCTTTCCCATCGCACGGCTTGCAACAAGTTTGCCTGCTGTGTCTTAAAGTGGCTTGCAGCAGCAGCCCTGACTGACAGCAGCTCATTGGCTAATTTGTATCATGTGTAGCCTGGTGCCGGACGCTCCGGAGGGTTTTATTATACAAACGGGAGAAGCGTCACAAGTGAAGTTAGACACTGTCATCCAAAAACATGCTGTAATTTGTAAATAGTCTGCTGATCCATGACCTCTGTGCTAGACCAACACTCCCCTACATTACATCAAATTACATACACTTGGTTTCAACAATATTCACTGAGAAGATAAAGTTAGTAAAACATAGATAAGAAAAGAATGAGAACCTCTATTAAGGTAGTACCCTTATCAGTTTTCTGATTTTACTTTAAAAGCAAATGTTCATAAGCGAGTTGGCATGGATGTCAACAGTCAAATGTATTTATAAAACTAGCTCAGTATTATTATAGACTCGCTTTAAAACATTGTGCCCTATGTCCTTTTAGGAAAAAATGACTGAGGTAGTTGCAACCAAGTCTCAGGAGGAGTATGAAGATGACTTTGAAAAGGATCTTGACTGGCTAATCAGTGAAGAGGGCCGAAGTGAAGAGCAGGTAACTGGTACCCTCCCTGTTTTTCCTTTTTTCAATACCAGTGCGGGGATGGCTTGGTGGGATGCAGGTGTGGTCTGGGGTGAGCAGGGTTTTGCAAAATATCTATGTCAGATTTAATGATGTTATCATACTCCTGCTTTTCTCTTTATGTGATAGACTGACCCAAGGCAGTATAACAGTTAAAGGAAGGAGAAGGATATATGTTTTTTCCCTGTTTCTTAAATAAACATTTTAGGAAAGGTGCAGCACTTATGTGTTTTTAGCCTTTGTGAGTCAATAACTTAACTACAATTCAAACAGCTAGTTTTTCGGGGGGACATTTGCTCTGTTCCTTTGGAGAGTGACAATATCTACTTTATCTGTGCAAAAAAGCTCAGACTTAGGTCATTTTGGTAGATACAACCTGTTAATAGCAATTAGCAAGTTTTGTCCAAAATTTTTAATTTTTATCCTGTTTAAGACTTTGGTTAGACTATTTTAACACATGAATATAGTTTGACCATTAGATTTGCACTACAGCTTTGTGATTCTGTTTAGATTTGTTGTCCCTTTATATAGGACCTAGTTAGTTTTGTTTCATATAAGTTTATTTTCATTATGGCCGGTTAGTATCTAAAAAAATTAA